TTCCAGTGTCATACAGAGCGAGACAGTCCTGGATGTATCTGGTCGTGTTCATGGCCAAACTCACACAAGAGAAAGCCCCTTCCAGTGTCATACAGCATGTCTATCTTCTCAATGAACGAAATCAAGCAAGTATGTTACGATCACAAAGAGTCCAAAGACCCCCCACCCCAATGAGACAGTCCTGGATGAATCTGGTCACAATTCGAACCCAATTCGGAAAAGAACAAGGCCATGAACTGTGACCAAAGATCCACCTCCCCCTCATCTCACACCCACAGTACCACAGAACTCTCTCTCTCTCTCTCTCTCTCTCTCTCTCTCTCTCTTGTGTGTGTGTGCATGTTCTGACAGTCTGCAAGGATACCCACACTCCATGCATACGCCATCTCTCTCTCTCTCTCTCTCTCTCTCCCTCTCTCTCTCTCTCTCTCTCTCTCCCCAACACACACACTTGCGCTGCGGTTGATCTGGCCATGGCTGCTTCCTATGGATATCCACCACCGTCGACTACTCTCTTTATCAGCCAGTATCACAAAATGGCCTAGGTCGAAATATCCCCAAGCGGCACTCCAGCATATATCTCCAAATAGCACAGCAGCAAGCGGGTTGTGGAGGGCCAATTTAACTGCTCATTCTTTTTTTTTTCTTTTTTCCTTCTTTTTTTTCCTTTTTCTTTTTCTTTTTTTTTTTCTTCTTTTTCTTTTTTTTTTTCTTCTTTTTCTTCCTTTTTTTCCCTTTGTTTCTGGAACTGGTTGCTCACCTGTCTTCCATCGCTACTTCGGCTTGACTTTCTGCCTTTCCTTGTGACGCCTTCGCCATCACTCTCTTGTGCACGCTTCCGTCTGACTTTGACATTCTTTTTCCCTGCGATCCACCGAAAAAAAAAAAGGGAAAATATGGAAGCAACGAAATTAAAAAAAAAAAAGGAAAATAGTCAGAGCAGGATTTGAAAAATCTATCTGGAAAAAAAAAAAAAAAATCCATCTGCTCCTTCAGAGAGGCTGAGTTGGACAAGGCTTGCGAGACAGATGAAAGTAAAAAAAAATTAAAAAAAATCACACAGATATTAGACGAGTATAGTATCATTAGTGATGATTAAAAAAAATAAAAATGCTGCACACTGGGGAGGAAACGAGTGGCTTAAGAAAATAAATAAACTAGGCTGCCAGCCGGGCCGCCCGGGTCACCTATTTTCCCGGCAGCCAAAAAAAAAACAAAATCCAAAAAATCCGAAAAAAAATTATGTTATGCAGAAAAATAAATTGAACAACTTTTGCCTCAGGATCACATCGAAATTCTTTACCAAATTTACAATAAAATTTTAAATAAATAAAAAAGTTTTTATTTTTTTATTTCTTTTTGGCCCGGCCGGGCAAGTGGACCCGGGTCACTCTGGTAGCCTAGTAAATAAATTTAGAAAAAAAAAAACAAAAAAAAGAACTCGAGTGGCTTCAGCAAGCCCAACTAGTCCTGGGATTCAATGATTCGAGGCCGGCCGAGGTCCCACTAGCGAAGAGGAGTCTTGGATTGAACGCCTGAACGTGGACGTGTTTCTGGAGATGTGCAGAAAATTCCCATGGATCTGCTTTTTTTTCTGCACCTCTCCACAAACACGTCCAGATTCAAGCTTCACATTCCAATTCCTCTTTTCAATGTTGGGGCCTGGCCCACGGAGACATTCTGCAGCCCGTCTGCAATTGGGTACAAATTTCCCCTGAGGACTGCCCAGGGGAAATTACGAATTACGGAGACATTCTGCAGCCCGTCTGCAATTGGGTACAAATCTAGGCTACCAGCCGGGCCGCCCGGGTCCCGGGTGGCCAGCCCGTGCAAGGACCAGGGAAGGTACCAGCAAACCAAAAAAAAAAAAAAAAAACCATCACAAAATTCCGAAAAAAAACTATGTTATGAAGAAAAATAAACTGAACAACTTTTGCCTCAGGGTCACATCGAAATTCTGCACCAAATTTAGAAAAATAAAATAAAATTAAAAAATATTTTTTATTTTTTTTATTGTTTTTTGCCCGGCCGGGTAAGTGACCCCGGGCCACTCTGGTAGCCTAGGTACAAATTTCATAATTTAATTACCTTTGCTGAGTTGCTGGCACGGGAATACAAGCATTTTCTTTTTCTAAATTGTCTTTCCTCTTTTTATTTTCTTCTTTCCTTCTTTGGAAAACCTTTTTCAAAAAAAAAAAAAAAAAAAAAAAAAAAAACTTTTTCTTTTTTTCTTTTTTTTCTTCTTTTTTCCACTTTTTTCAGTTGCCTCGACCTCCATTAATTAGACAACATGCAAGTGCCATTCACCACGTCGTGGGTTCAATGATTCAATCGGAATCAATCCCCATCCCCGCCTATAGCACTCTTGGTGCCAACCATCACCTGTCACTGAGATAGTCAGCTGGATCCCCCCAGTCGGTATCAGTAAAGGTAAGGTCTTCAGCCAACACGGGTTGCGTTGCGAGTGAGCGTGTGCGGTGGGTGGGTGGTGTTGTGTGCGGTGGGTGGGTGGTGTTGTGTGCGGTGGGTGGGGTTGGTCGTTGGCTTTAAGACACTATACTGTTAACCGATGGGGGTGCCCCAAGTGCAATTGCAAGCTGCATCTTGGCCCATAGTGCAATAATTATTATTAATTAAATTATTATAACTCGTTTTTGTGACTCCCGCATAGTTACCCCTTGTTTTAATGACCCTTTTTTTTTTTTTGGGGGGGGGGGGGGGGGTATTTTCTAGGGTTTTTTATATTTAACTGGGGCCAAGTCCCACTAAGTAGCAGTGTTGAGCTACTTCAACGCCTGAATGTGGACGCTTTTGCGGAGATGTGCAGAAATGGTGCTGAGTTTCCTGAACTGCACGTCTCCACAAACACGTCCAGATTCAGGCGTTGAGGTAGCTCAACGCTGCTACTTAGTGGGACTTGGCCCCTGGAGTTTGGCTAAGAATTTGAGCATGCGTCACAAGCAAAAGTTGTTTCTTTTGTTATTATACATGACATTTTACTTTTTTTTCAGATTTTTCTGAGGTTTTTCTTCTCTTTTTTTTATGTGTTCGAGTTGGTTATTTTTTTTTATTTTTTTTTTTTTCAGATTTTTCTGAGTTTTTTTTTTTTTTTTTTTTTTTTTTTAATGTGTTCGCGTTTGGCGCTCGTTTGCGTTTGGGTGGCAAACGTTTGGGTTCGGTCACGGAAAGCGAAGACGATGCTACGTGGGCAACATACCCATGCACAAAAGACAAAAATAATGGCCGTGTATATTTCCGTGTTCTAGCGGAAGATTCACTCTCGCTCTCGATTTGCACATGTCAAGAGTACTGGAGAGAGGGGCCCCATGTCTACCAATTGCAGCATATACCCTTATGGGTATAACAGGATTTCAAAGCTGCACCCATTACTGCGCACACTCACACTAGCACTTTTCTAAATGTATCTGACCGCATTTACGGCCCGAACTAAATGTATCTGACCGCAATTACGTCCAGGAACACGTAAAAAAGTCCTAGTGTGAGTATGCCCCTCAGTAGGATTCAAAGCTCCGCTAAATCCAAAACCCTCTTTGCTACTGTAGTGGGACCTTGCAACTGAGTTCAATTTTTTTTTATTTTTTTTTCCCGGAGTTCGAATTCAGTTCACGGAATCAAATAAACGAAATACCTCTGAATGAATTTACCTGACTTAGCCGAAAAGTCGAAGTGAAAAAAAAAAGAAAAGAAAAAAGAAGATGAAAAAAAAAGAAAACGAAGCAGAAGACAAGTCCAAGTGTGAATTTGGCAATTGGACCTTAAGATTCACATTGCCATTATTACATGTTTTGCGATAATTAAAAAAAAAAAAAAAAACAGTAAAATGAGGCAGGAAAACCTAACGAAACCACCCAAAAAAATCCGCAGGACACCCAAAAAAAAAAAAAAAAAAAGACAGACAACCCCAAATTTGCCTTTTCCGAATTCTTTTGTTGTTTGGGGGGGGGAGGGGTAGAGAATCTATTCTGATATTATTTTTTTTGGGAGGGGATTCTGAAATCCGACAAGTGGACTTTTTTTTTCTTTTTTAAATGACATTTTGTTTTCAATTCGTCCTCTCCCAAAGCCGCTTTTCTGTTTTTTTTTTTTTTTTCCGTTTCCTTTTTTCTTTCGAAAGTTTTTTTTCATTCGAAAGTTTTTTTTCTTAATTCGAAAGTTTTTTTTCTTAATTCCAAACTGTAAACTGTTTTCAGTTAAATATTGTTTGATATTAGTACTTATTTGATATTATTAATTTGATATATTTAATTGATATAATTTATTTGAAAAAATTCGAAAATGTTTTTTTTCTTAATTCGGAAGATTTTTTTTTCTTAATTCGAAACTGTAAACTGTTTTCAGTTAAATATTGTTTGATATTATTTATTTGAAAAATTCAAAAATGTTTTTTTTCCCTTGATTCGGAAGTTTTTTCTTCTTAATTTGAAACTGTAAACTGTTTTCAGTTAAATATTGCTTGATATTGTTATTTGATATTTATTTATTTGATATTATTTATTTGATATTATTTATTTGATACTACGTATTTGATATTATTTATTTGATATTATTTATTTGATATTATTTCAAATGGGAGGCTGGGACTGTGTCCCACCACTACCTCCGAGCGCCTTTTTTTCCTCGTGCGGACCTGTGCTGCGCGCCAAGTTCGGGCCGAATGGGCGTGGCGCTCTTTTTGGATTAAGCGCCTAAATCTGGACGTGTTTTATGCACAGATGCAGAAAAGCTTCCGGAGCCAAGGTGGTTCCACAACCAAAGAGGATTGCAATCTTAGGGAGCGAGGTCCAACTACCATAGTAAAGAGGATTGGATTGAACGCCTGAATCTGGATGTGTTTTATGGACAGATGCAGAAAAGCAGATCAATCGCCTTTTTCTGCACCTCTCCCCAAACACGTGCAGATTCAGACATCACATCCCACACATCCTATTTGCTAGTGAGACCTCGCCCCACGGGCTCGTTTTTTTTTCAACCACCGCCACCAAATATTATCGATTTTTTCCCACCCCCTTTCTCAAGCCCTCGAAAAATGCCGATGTAACGGAAAAAAAAAAAAAAAATACTAAGATATTCTAGAAAAGGGGGAAAAGGAACAAGAAAAAGGGAGCGGGAACCAAAAAAAAAAAAAAGAAAGAAGGCAGACGTAAGTAAACCACTTCGTTCGTCACAAGAAAAAAAAAATTATGCCAAAGGTAGTGCTGGTTCATACACACACACACACACACCCACGGGAGTAACAAAAAAAAAAAAAAAAAAAAAAAAGGGTGCACGTTTGGTTCCATCAACCTACCTTACATGTGCGTGGCACACCCTTCAGCGAGCGAGCGGCATGGACCAAGGGCCTCGCTCCCCTCCTCACCACATGTGCAAAAGGAGAATGAATCGTCCGCTAAAACATGGAAAGGTATACCACTTCCAGATTTTTTGTCTTTTGTGCATGTGGAGGAGAGTAGCGGAGCGAGGCCCCGAGTCCTTTTTTTTTTTTTTTTTTTTGAACGCCTCCTCTTTTCTCTTACGTGGTAATGGCGTCTCTCTTTTTTTCTTTTTCTTGCCCTGACATCCCTGACATCCCTGTCTCGATCGGGATCCCAACTCACAATCTGTTTACCAACGGCTACCCGTGTGGTCCTACCTACCATTCAAGCACACACAACGCTGGGGTCTTTTTCCGGTTTTTTTTTTTTTTTTTTTTTCCTTTTCATTTTTCCAATTTTACTACTGCTAAAAAAAAAAAAAAAAAAAAAAAAACTCTACTGATGCTCTTTTCTTATTTTTCTCTCTATTTCGGGAGATGTGCGATTGAGGAAACTCAACGCTGTTAGTGTAGTGGGACTTGGCCCCTCCTGCTGCTCAGGGGCCACAAAGTCCCAGCCGCACCTTTCTTTTTTCAAGTTTTTTTTCACTTCGAAGATCAAGGACCAGTCCCCGAAAAAAAAAAAAAAAAATCAAGGACCAGCAATGCAGAAAATTCGACAAG